TTTACTTTGGAAGGACCTGCTTTTTGACCATCTGGCTCTTGGCGAGCTGTTGAAGGACCTGCTCTGTCAGCATCCAACAGCACAGGGTGATCTGTTTTTGTGAGGTGTTTCTTCCCCGCTGTAGGAGGGTAGGGCTTTGCGTCTGCTTCCAACTCCCACCCAGATTCTGCTTGAGAGGCCTGTCTCTGGGCGTTTGTCTCCTTCTCCTCACAGGGGCAACCTGTACCGGTGGGGATTGAGGGCAGGTGTCTGCAGAGGCTGTTGGTGACGCTGCCGGGGACGCTGGCGGAGAAAAAAAATGGGTGTGGGTAGTGTGGTCAGAGTTGTGTGGAGTCTGGGGATATGCAGTGCCTGGTCGCTCTATAGACTGAAATGGCTGCCTGAGGCATAGAGTTGTACCAATTTCTAATCTGATGTCACATTATAACATTAATTGGAAAAATAACGCGAATAAACAATAAGTTCAATGCTAATGATGAAAATAATACCTTTTTTGATAACTACTATAATAATAACAATCCTATTGAATAGCCTCAAAATGAAATGGAATCTCAGAATCTAGTGGAGTCAGACTAATATAGTGGGGAGAAGTATAACTTCCTGAGGTAAAACTGAAAGTATTCTTAGTAACGAAATCCATGATGTAATGCCAGTAGTGCCATTTTGTTGCCCAGCTCAGCACAGCATAAATCAGTGATAAACCCCACAGCAAAGCGGCAAAACCCGGTAACTCTTAGAAAACAGTGAGAACAAGTAAACCATAGCAGACTTCTCTCTTAGCAAGAAAGTAATTGTGTTGGCAGGAAAAAAAATGAAATATGTGTGAAAAATATATGCAGAATCTAGAAAACAGATACAAAAATATTATTTTTCTTACCTTCACATTCACTTGAAAATAAATTTTCTGTGAGAATTCTGTCCTTCTAACTTCCCTACCTACAATTAATCAGTCTGGTTTTTGGAGATGGTCTTTATCAGTGACATGTTTTATAGGTCTGTAGAGCATTATACCTAGTTAATTTAATCGGTTACTTTACAGTGCAGGCTTGTCATGGCAGAATTTTTTGAGCTTTGACCGTTGTCATTTGTCTGTTCTTAGAAGCCCAATGGTGCTTACGATAAGTAGGTTGGGTACCTTGTGTAACAGGTAGCATTGTCTCACAGTTAAGAGCTTCTGAGTTGTTATACATCATCACTGATAAATATTTGATTTGGTTGTTTAACTTCGGTTACTAAAGACTACAGTAATTTTGTGTGTAGAAATGATGGGGTTTTAAATGAAAGTTGAGTTTTTAGCAGCACAAAGATAGTTCCCCCACTTGGAAAAATTACAACTAAATAGTCCTGCTGTGGCCTATCTCAGTCCTGCTCTGGGCAACCAGCAAAAGCACTTACTGCTGTAACCCGCTGTTGTTGGAGTCCTTGGGTGCTGAAGTGTGTGTACTCCCAGGGGCTGAGGACTGTCCTGTTGGTCATAAGAAACTACATAGAAAATAACTTTAGGTTAGCTCATTTGGAAAATATACAGCTGTCCTGATTTTTTGGGGAGAGGGAGCTGCTGCACTGCTTGGAAATGTGAATGCAGGATTCTCACTTTTTTTTTTTTTTTTCTCCCTCTGTAGGTATGGCCTCACAAGTCTTGGTCTATCCACCATATGTTTATCAAACCCAGTCAAGTGCCTTTTGTAGTGTGAAGAAACTCAAACTAGAACCAAGCAGTTGTGTGTACCACGAAAGATCCTACCCGCAAATCTATGTGAATGGTAAAAACTTTGGAATTTCTCCCCACAGGGTTAGTGCATACTTTCAGACTAAAAACCCATTTGACAGACCTCGAGGACAGAACTTTTTGTTGCAGTCAAATGCTGTTGCTTTAAAACATATTGCAGGTGCTACGAAAGCGTTGGCAGCGCGGGCGCAGCGAGCTCAGTTAGAGGCACCTCAGGCTGGGACTCAAGGGAGCTGGTCGGACCTCCTGGAAGGACCCCAGCGATGTGGGCTGAAGCGTAAGAGCGAAGAGCTGGATAATCAAAACGGCACGATGCAGATTGTTGATGAACTGGCCATCCTGCCTGCCATGTTGCAAACCAACGTAGGAAACCCAGTGACGGTTGTGACAACGGCTGCAGCTTCAAAACAGAGTGGTACAAGCGGAGATGGAGATTACCAGTTAGTGCAGCATGAAGTGTTGTGCTCTGTGAAAAACACTTACGAGGTTCTTGATTTCCTTGGGCGAGGGACCTTCGGACAAGTGGTGAAGTGCTGGAAAAGGGGGACGAATGAGATTGTGGCAATCAAAATCCTGAAGAATCACCCTTCGTATGCACGCCAAGGACAAATAGAAGTGAGCATATTAGCGAGGCTGAGTACTGAAAATGCTGATGAATTTAACTTTGTGAGAGCCTATGAATGCTTTCAGCATCGTAACCATACTTGCCTGGTTTTTGAGATGTTGGAACAGAATTTATACGATTTCCTGAAGCAAAATAAATTCAGCCCTCTGCAACTGAAAGTAATACGGCCTATTCTGCAACAGGTGGCCACTGCACTGAAAAAACTGAAAAGTCTGGGTTTAATCCATGCTGACCTCAAACCAGAGAACATTATGTTGGTGGATCCTGTTCGGCAACCTTACCGGGTTAAAGTAATAGATTTTGGGTCTGCCAGCCATGTATCAAAGACTATTTGTTCAACCTATTTACAGTCTCGGTATTACAGGTAGGTGTCTTTAATCTTTGATGGCATTTTTAGCATTTATTAAGGTTAACAGCTTAAACAATTGCTCTTCCAGATAACTAATAAGAATAATTTGGAAACATAAGGACCATCTAAGAATGAAGGCCATACTAAGATTAAGTGGTTGGTTAGCATGTGAATGTGGATACTTGCTTTTAATGTTTTTATAGTGTTGTTGTTTTTTTTTTTTTTTTTTTTTTTCTGGAAGTATGTTTTGTGTTGCACTCTGAAGTCATCATTTGCTGCTACATTGAGAAGTGATGAGACTTTTTAAAAGGAAAATAAATAAATAAAAAAACCTAAATAATAATAAAAAATTAGCTTTCACTTACTTGATTAGGATGCCTTTTCTGCCTTCCTCTCGTAATGGATTTTTTTTTTTCTCTAAGCAGCTGGATAGTATACCAGAAGTGCTGTATTTTTATATTCTGTTGCCAACTATTATGTAAATGCCTCTGCTTTACTACAGTGCTTGTAAATATTTTGCCTAATTCTTATAAACGTAATTCTAACGGAGTGTTTTCAGCAGCTGTGGACTTCAGTGAGCTTCTGATGTTAGCAAGTCATAGGATATTTAAGTGTTTAAGGTGATACCAGGTGGGCATTTAAAGTGATTCCAGTGCATGGTTGCATTCTGCAATGACAGAATGGGTAATTTGAAGGAAATGTTAAATACTTTACAGCTATTCATGTTGGAAGTGAAAACCTGTGCAGTGCAGTGGTAGGCTCGATGAAAGTGCTGGTTGGAGTTCATGCCAGAAGAATCTATTATGTGACTGCAACTTGTAAACAAGGACATTTTGTGTACCAGTGCAATATAAAATATTCTAATTCATCACCTGCATTTCCCCATCGCTTAATTAAAAACTGCAGCTAAGGGTTTAAAAAATACACAAAGTTTGTCAACAGAAAACTTAATTAGGAGACCGTATAGATTGATGCATACCCGTGTTATATAAAAAAAAAAATGGTCACAAGAAGAAATGAGAAATGAAATAACTTGAAAGTTCCTTTTGGTGTAATAACTGTACACCACTCAAGATGCTGTATTTTTGGACACCTCAGGACAAACGTGCAAGTCTTGAAAAGAAGACATGAATTTTGCAATGAATTTTAGACAAGTGCAAATGTCTTAACCTCAGCTGCTTGTACAGATCTGTTACTCAGCAGATACTCAAGGTGCATAGTCTGGGAACACATATATTTTGGCTTTTCATTTGCTGAAACAATTAAAGATTATTGTGAGCCATTGCTTGTAGAGGTGAACGTTGAATGCTCAAGAGAAACCCATAAAGAAGTTTTGCAGAAGTGAATAAAGAGAAAGTGTGATTGTTTTTTTTGGTTTTGATGTGTGTGTGTGTGGTTTTTTTTCCTGATCTTGTCACTGCTTTTTTTTCCTTGTTCATGTGGGTGTCGTAAACTAATTATTATAAAAGTGGGTACACCACAAAGTCAAATGTTATGGTATTTGGAATACTAGTGTCAGTATTTTATATCAGGAAGAGGAAGGGAGTAATGTATTGAAAAAATAAATAATAAAGGATTAGGACTTTAAGGCAGGAAATGTCACACAGCCAGCTGAGCGGATAGTGGGCTGACTTACCTTGGTCTGTGGCAGAAGAAGAGCTGACATAATGATGACTATTGGAGATATTACACTGCTTTTGTGTGAGGAGAGATGATAAAAAGTCAAACTAGCTGAATTTTCAGAGTGTGGACAAGCAGCAAAATAGAGACAAACTGGATGGAGTGATAGTGATTTGATATTTTCCCGTTTCAGCTTTTTCAAGCAAAGAGGAAGTAAGAAAATGGTTAAAACAAGTATAAAGATACTTTCTGACACTTCATTACCTTTTGGAAATTCTTGGCTGTTATGTATTGCTAGAAAAAAGTATAGATCTGAATAAATATTTATCACAGTACACTGTCTTAAGTCATAGATTTTTTGCTTTTTTTAAAGATTAGATGTTATTCTGAATATTCTCTCCCTAAAAGACGATGTCTATGCTTACACGCCGTTTTCTTAGGGGTCTGGATTTTAATAGCTGTGAACTAGGGAGATCTGGTATTTGAAGCCTTTTCTTTGCTGCTGGCCTCACACATTAAGACTGTTGACCTTTTATGAGTGATCTAAGTAGGTAAATAACTAGGCAGTGTATACATTTTTAAAAGAAAAACCTCTTAAGTATAGCGTAGGTGATCAGGCTGTTGTTGTATATGGAAATGATAGGATAAGTCTCTTGCTGTCCTTCTGTCAGCTGTGCCCCGATTCATGAAACAGGGATTGTTACATCCAAAATCAAAAGCTGCTTTTCCTTTTATTGGATGGTGCAGGCTGCAGAGGAGGGGAGTCAACACATTTTTTTCTAAGTCTGGTGTCTTGTGCTCATACAGCAAGGCAGAGAGTTATTCCAGGGAGTGATGTTTCCCTCTGGAAGTCCTTTTCCTTTGCTTTGCCATTCTCCTGAGGCTAGGTGTATTTAGAAGAGCTGGTGTGAAAAGAAGGGCCTCAAAATGGCAGGCTCCAAGGGGCAGTAACCTCCAAGCAAAATAGACTGGTCTGAACTGGTCAAGGTAGCCCTACCCATCTGCTTCAGAGAGCAGAGTTACTTTCTGTTGCTGTGAGAAGCAGCGGCCTTCTCAGTGTTCTGTTTTCAGAGATAACTCTTCAGGTCTGATTTTGCAGCAGATCTCCTTTCTTCTGGCACTCCCCCCAGAAACTGTTCTTTCCCAGAGAAACTTCTGTTGGACCCTGTGTATAAATTCCCTTTTCTGAAGTAGCTATGCACACCACCAGTGGTTAAGGAGTTCTGTTTTGCTCCTTAGCTAATACCTAAATGACAGTTAGTGGTGCTTTTTGTGCATCACTCTCATCCATACCATTCAGCTGTTGCTCAGAGTGGGTAAAATTGTATATAAAGGATCCAGGTAATCAGGGCATCAATGTGGCAGGGCTGGGTAATGATGTAGCTTCTTCCTTCTTTGATTCGTCTCCAACTTGTTGCTCGGCTGTAACACCAACTGAACTTGCCAAACGCGTTGCTGCGTTGACATTGCATGTTGAACATAGATCTGTAAGGGAGAACTCTAGCAGTGTTTGTGTGTGCAGAGCTTTGTGATTTCTAGGGTTTGCTGTTGGTTGGGAGGAATTATTGCTTTATTATTTTTCAAGGGGAGTCACTTTCATGTGGATTAAATTTGAGAGTTTCTTCCTCAAAGACAGAATTCTGAAAATGAGACTTCAGTAAGCTTTATAAAACGTCATTCAAAAGATCCTTCTGATGTTATGGGCTTGACAGTGGCCATTGCAGGTGTAAGAGTGAGTGTGTTACTGCATGGCGTGCTCCTCGTGTGCAGCTTCTGAAGGGAGCTGAACAGTCGCTGCTGCGGCTGGCTCTGTACGGTTACATTTCCTGTCTTTCACCTCCTGTCAACCAAGAGAGCATCTCCTTCATCGTGCTGTGTCAGCTTATAGTGCTGTTGGAGTACAGCTGGAAATTTTACTGAAAATATGTTTTGAGAACTAGGACTTGGTTTTATGATGGAAGGATGCTTCTCTTAGCATCCAGTGGCCTGTGCGCAAACTGCTGCTTGGTTCAGGAAAAAGAAATGAGTGGGAAGCAATATAATTGATCCCCATGTAAAACAGGGCACCAGCTGACCCTGTGGTACGCTGAGGGACAACTTGAGTGATACTGGCATGATGGAAGATGTCTGGTTATTAAGGGAGGCTCATAACTTGGAAATGTTTTTTCTGCTCTGCTGGTGACAGCAGTAAAATACGATCCTAGTTATTCAGCAGTGTGCCCATAAGGAAAAACAAATGATGTGAGTAGATGTGCTCAGTGGAGTCAACTCATTCCTGAACTGGACAGTGATACCCTCCCTCCAGCCTTCCATCTAAGGGTGGTTGCTAATCAACAGAGTTGTTCCAGACAAAATGCCAAATGTCACTAGTGTTACGGTAGAGCTCAGAGAGATGGAAAAATCACTGTTGGATGTGTTCCTGTTGGACAAGAACAGGCTTTTCCCCCTCTCCTTCTCTTACCCTCCTCTCCCATGAAGGATCAGAGAGAATGAGGGCAGAGTGATAATCATTGTGTCTCGTCATCCTGGCTTCCACTCACCCAGTCAGTTCTACTGCAACTGGGAAAAGTGATATGATCTGGTGTGAACCTCTTCTGCTTTAAAGGGTTGTGGAAAAAGAGCAAAATAATTGAATTTTGTGGCTTAATTACTACCCATGGGCTGGGCTGTATGTGTGTGCTCTGAGGCTGTTGTGCTAGGACAGCTTTTTCTTTGACTTTTCCTCTTCATACTTATTTTCAGAAGAAGCCACCAAGAGCTTATGCGGTGCTTTTTGCCCTCAAATTTAGGAAATTTATTTGATCGGTTGTTTTCCCTCTTTCTTAAACGCATGCCTTCAAAATTAGAAAACAAATAAATCTTGTAGCTCTAAATTCCTGGAGAGGCTTGTTTTCTTACTGGCCTTTGTAACTTGATTAGCTGTAGTCCTTGTCACTTCAGGGACTCCAGACAACACAGACTGACAGTACCTCCCAAAGTGTTTTTGTTAAATTGAATGTTTTCTTTTTCTAGGTTAGGATTGTCAGCAGGATGAGTAGTTTGGTCTGAGTAACACAATAGTTGTATCCAGTAGCTTGTCTATTATCTTCTCCTAAAATCAGATCAACATGTAACTTCCATATGTTTTAAAATATCAGTTAAAAACTTGTAGACAAATGCACACCTATCTTATTCCAGATTTTCTTTACAGGGGTGACTAAGGAGAGAAGTCATGCCAAACTGACATCTCAGGAAGCGACTGCTTTTTCAAATCCACCCATTTTTGTCACATACTTGTAGTTTCTAAATTAGCTTTATCTAGAGTGGGATGTCTTGTTTTTTTTCTCCCTTCAGATTGCCAAGTATTCTTGTTCACTTTATTTTTTTTTTTTTTACATTTTGGGTTTTAGAAGTTT